CAGAAATTTGCGCGCTACAATCCTGCAGTATTAAGAAAGGCTTGGGTTATTTTTTGGGATTTCTGAAAAACTGGTTTTCCAGAAGGCTGGATCTTCGAAGAGCTATAGGCCAGTCCCATGATCATATTCGAAATCAGCATGGTCGATAACCTATAACCCACTAGATGTCGATCAAAAAGCTTTTAATCACCTCGTAAGACGGTGGGAGGGGGAAGATGTCAATCGGAACCTTTCAGAACGTTTCCGTCCAATTTATGTTTGGTGAATACAACCCCATTTTCAGATTAAAAAGCTATCTATAAATACTGTGCTGATGTTACTGTTTAGCTTATGAATCAGTCGACTTATCAAATCAAATACCAAACAAATCGCCGAATTTGATAAAATCGGAACATTCAAGCAGGAGTCACATAACGAGAAATACATTTACTGCTTTTAAAGAACGTAAGTAAAGCAAAAGACAATCATCTCTGATTGACTCAGTCTCTGTACCAAAATAGTTGTTTGTTAAGTGTTCCCTGTCAAAAAACTATCTCTGAAACTACAAGTTCAGTCTAGACCAAACCAAATTTTCATGGAATGTTGTTCATGTCACAAGATGGTGTCGAATTATTTTTGGCTCTATCAATCTCCCTTCGCGAGATGTCGTCATAACAGGGCTCAAAATAGGGTTCTTCGTATTTCCCCAAATTTTTCTTCCAAGTAAGAATTAGAGCTCGGGTTAATTTCAAAACAGTATCAACAAATGCAGCTAGGGAGGAAGAATATCCCGCCTTTCGGCTACTTCGCGGTATAGGATGTTGTCTGGAGATAGTTCAAGGGGGAAAGCACGGAATCCTGGAATCCTGAATTCCCCTGGATTCCAAGGATTCCCTATGATTCTTTAGGATTCCAAGGATTCTCTAAGATTCTCTAGGAATCCTTAGGATTCCTTAGGATTCTCTAGGATTCTTTAGGATTCCTTAGGATTCTCTAGGATTCTTTAGGATTCTTTAGGATTCTCTAGGATTCCAAGGATTCTCTAAGATTCTTTAGGATTCCTTAGGATTCTCTAGGATTCTTTAGGATTCTTTAGGATTCTTTAGGATTCTCTAGGATTCTTTAGGATTCCTTAGGATTCTCTAGGATTCTTTAGGATTCTTTAGGATTCTCTAGGATTCCTTAGGATTCCAAGGATTCTCTAAGATTCTCTAGGAATCCTTAGGATTCCTTAGGATTCTTTAGGATTCTTTAGGATTCTCTAGGATTCTTTAGGATTCTCTAGGATTCTTTAGGATTCCAAGGATTCTCTAAGATTCTCTAGGAATCCTTAGGATTCCTTAGGATTCTCTAGGATTCTTTTGGATTCCATTCGGTTCCATTGGATTCCTTTGGATTCCAGGATTCCATTGGATTCTGCGAGATTCCGTTTAGATTCCGTGCTTTCCCCCTTGAGATAGTTTCGTAACCCAATATTTTCCCTACAGCTAATACTAGCTGTAGCTATGGACGATCCGAGGCAAACCACCGCTAATGACTTGCCTAGGGTTATTCCATGTCGGATGGCACTGAGGCTCGAACACAGTACCTATGTGCCAAACAACTTACCCACACAGTCCGAGTTTCGAATATTTGGGCTATTGATTGTGGCAGGCATCAAAAGTCAAAAATTCGAAAGAATATCTGCATTTTAAAACTTATTTCCATGTGTGTTGCATCCCTCTTACTATCAACGCCGGTCCAGAAAAAAACTCGATTAAGTCTACATGCAAAGTAGTCTCATGTTTTCCCACGCAAAGTTGGATTCTCTTTCCTGCCTAGGCGTTGATAGTAGGATGAATGCAAGGCACGTGCAAATTGGTTTTTGACTTCGCTGGACACGACGGCCATATTAGTTAGTTGATTGAAAACATCAAAAGGTCTTGAAAAGATTTTCCGAAGATCCCCCAGAGACCGGTCCACAACATTTCTCGATTCTTTTTTAGCACCAGTGGACAGAACGTAAAAAGTTATATATTGTGTAAAATGTTGGCCTTGCGGCACGGTTCCTGACTGGGTCATCTAGGGCGAATAGCGTCAAGCAACAGTATTTTCACCAGTTTTTGCTGATTTTCAGAAAAGTTTGACCTTTTGTAATTTTTCTAATTTCATATTCGGATTCAGCGTAATATTCCAAATCTGAATCCCAATCGATTTTAGTTTTTCTGTGCTTCCTCAGCTAGAAGACATCTAAACACCGGTTTTTGCGAAAGTTACGAAACTGGCCTAAGTCGAAGATTATTCCGCACCAATACTTCATTTTTATAGGAGTCAAAAATGTCCGTACTCGATAGAGCGTTTACTTCAACCTCAATTAAGCATCAGTCTCGTACCCAGCTGAATCCAAAAATAATACTTTTGAAAAGTTAGAAGAACGGAAACGAAAAAGTTTGAAGTTTTTTTAAACCGAAGGGTTTTTCGAAATTTGAGGCCCTTCTAGTCGGACTTGTTTCTATCATTCCTTGGTTCTAACAACTAGTTCTATAAGTTTCGAGATAGTCGTACTACAAGGACCTTCCACAGCAGTATTACCAACATCTGTTGTGTAAACTAGTATTGTCCATTATGTTGATCATTTATTTATTTACATACATGATGTAGCAATGCGCAATCGAAGTGCAACGGAACCTAGTCCACCCGCGCGATCCATATTCGATAATAGTCCTCATCGTAGAAGGTGAATTTACTTTGTAATCGCGATTCATTCACATGTTAGCATACCATCGCATTTCAGAGCGTACACTTTGCCCTTGAACGTCTATTCGTATATTAGCGATTATCCAACAGATGAAATGTTATCAAACTACCCACTATTGCAGGAATGGGCATTTCATCGAATTAATCGATATCCTCCACGTGATATTGGTAAAGCATTGGCTGATTTAGAAATGCAGAAGGATTTAAGTACATCTTGTCGATTCAATATTCATATAGTATGTGCAAATCTCTATCAAGTGTGTGGTATCGTCGAGAAAACTCAAGATGAAATAGATCAGGCTAAACAGTTATCATTGTCATATCCTAGTAATAATGATAGACTTATCAAAGACGACCAGATGAAAGAAGTTTGTATGAAAACTAGATTTCGAATAATGTACTTACAAAAACATAATAATCAACTGAACAAACATAAAGAAGAAGATTTTGGTCAAAATAAACAAAAACAAAAGGTTAATATAACAATACCATGTCTAAAGACTTCGGATGCATTTGGTATGCGTACACTATGGCGTAATGTTGTTTTAAATGTTATGGATAATTTAGAATCAGCATCATACTATAGTCGCTTCATGTTTAACCATGCGCTTATACATCCCATAGAAACATTATCTCATGCTTGTAGTGTATATATTGGTTTAAATCTAGCTATGTTAGAAGAGAATGCTATTCAAGAATTATCTCATCGTGTCTTAGGTTATAATCAATACAAAAATATTTGGAATTGTTTAGAAGATATCGCAAAATTTAATCAACATACTGAAGAATCCAAAGAAATTTCTCATATACATAGAATGGCGCATATCTGGGGCACAGCAGCAGCTGCTTACTATCTCTATTCACGGTCTGCCTCTCCTAAAGATCTCTATTTTTTAAACTGTTATAAAGTGTGCGCATCAATTACTCGTGTCACAATTGAATATTCTGGTGTAGTATCTGGTTTTGAAGTCTTGCAGATACTTGCTCGGCAGCGTATAGTACCATTTTTCCGCTTACTAAATGCAGATTGTGGTTTAGAGCTATTTCCTATAAAAGTAGTTAAAGATGAGAATAGTGTATATATTCCAGAATGTATCGATTATTTTCGAAAATTATTGGCGAAGACAGTTCGCGGCGTAAATAGTGATAGAAGTCAATCTATTCTGTTTTCAGTTGAAACTGTAGATAAATTTGTGACAGAATTATTTAATAACGACGCAACAGCATAGTAAATTCTCTATGTCTCGTTTGAGGACGTCGAAGAAGCTGTCTTAACGCTTTCGATTGCAACTACATTACATTGTAAATCTATCGGGTGCTTATATATATCATTTTACATTAAAATTTTTGAAACATGCTTTCTTTGTAATACAGTGATCGCATATAATCCTTTTTTCAATAAATTTATTCATTTGATGAAATAAGCTTACTTATCTGCAATTATTATCCATTTCAAAAAAGAAAGACCATGGCCATTTGTTTAATAACTTTTTCTAGGATGTAGCTACGGAGCTGCGGTTTTCACTAGTCGAAAGAAAAATGTTGGGACAATAAGAAAAACCAAAAATTATTGTCCCAAAATCACCTGCAGATGGTGCACCCTGCGAAGATATTTTGCGAAAGATGTCACACCACTGAAAAAGTTTCAGATTTTAACGTTTGAGACAACAGCCAGGTAGCCTGGACTGAGATATTCGCTTCTAGAGCAGTGTCAGGTCGTTAGCTTACAAGGTTCCGGAGCTAGAAAGGTTTTCCGGAGACCACGCTAACTCGGTCCGGACACGTCGGAAGATCTCGGAAAGGCTTGAAACATAGGTTACCGAATCATTAGCGCAAAATCGACTTTTTATACGGGGAACAGAATCGGGGCCAAATTTTTTTTTTAAAAGCATATTTTTTTGA